TATATAATATACTTATAAATCACCAATGTTTTTCACTTAACAACCAACATAACAACATTAACCTATATACAACCATTCAAGGATTTATCCTGACATCTCTTATACAATCTATAAGAGAATACACAAACTCCAACCAAGTCGCAACAAAGACAACTATTTAACTTCTTATACAAATCTCACAAAATATATACAACCAGATTTGGATACCATACTGCACTAAACTTTCAGAATAGAAACAGCAAAATAACATACCTTCCAGATCTAGTCGAAGCCCAGAAACTTCTCATAGAACAACTAATCCTAATACAATCTGCTGTAGAATACCACACACATACAGCTGCCTTTGCGGTCTATCCGATCAACAACATGATAATAACACATGTCCACCTCTTGGAAAAGCAATTAGAAAAATATCACTATAGACTATTATATGAATTAAATATAGTACACCAACTAATAACATTTTATATTATCAAATCTAGATGAGTTTTAACCGCTCTAGTAGGTTTAGGTTGCAGATAAATCAGAATTTCTAGTTTAGATAGCTTCTGGTAATCTGAGTCTCATTCTTGTAAAATTTTTGTAACTTGGCTTTGGTCAGAAAAACCCATAATAGATTCTCAATACAAAATATTAATAAAGATAAAGGCAAAACTTCACCTTAAAAAAAAAAAAAAATAATAATAATTATAAGTGATCTACATTTAGAATCAGAACTAATATCCACTTTTTTGCAAAATTTCTTTAAAAAATTTTATTTTTCTTTGGTTAGCTTGCTTGTTATAAGTTTATCTTTGTTTATTTCTAAGCTAACTATCTGTTATTTTTGTTGCTCTTTCTGTTTTGTTATAATTATTGTGATATTTTCTATAGCTTTTATTAAGTTTTTGCTGATTTAACTTCTGCTTATTTTTGTATACAAGTGATTATTTGGAAGAGTTGATCATAATACAGTATGTTTTTAGTTAAAATCTAATATTATAATTTTTTATTAAATAATTTACGATTAGAAGTTAAAGTTAGCCTTGAATTGAAGTAAAAGGATTTAAATATATATAAAATTTAGTACTAAAAACTTTTGCTTAGAAGTTAAAACATGATTTTCATAACAAAATTTTGAGTTATTAAAACTTTTTTTTTATTTTTATTTTTCTTGCTTTGTTTTAGTTACACAAAGCTGAAGAGCTGATTGGCTTTTATATAACTAGGTAATATCATCTAAAGTTAAAATTAACAATACTCATTTTTTTATTATACAAAAAAGTAATTTATATGAATTCTACCACAAAATCCTAACACCCAAAATCTCAAAAACCATAATTCCAATGTGACAATTAGTATTTAACGATTAGTAATCACATTAACAATCATTGTTAGACTTTAAATTTTTAATTGGCACATCAGATGATGCCAGTATTATTGCCTGTCAGAATTTTGAATGTCAGGATTTTGTGGTAAAACCATTTACATGTTATATCTAATCTTAAATTTTAATTAGTTACAATACTCTAACACCATAGTGCTATAACACAGAAAATTTTTCCATTTGTAAAAGTGGCTTATATATTACTAATTGTGGCGCAAGCCAATCAAACTTCAAGATCAGGTGTAACGTAACACAATCAAAAATTCAAACCAAACGTTCGTCTTAGGTAATTTTACTAATAATTTTATTCATACCTAGCCTTGAAATAAACGCTAGCCCTAACCTTAACGAACTTTTAAAATTTTTATCGATACTGGAAAGATCATATAGGTGACAATATCACGTACGTACGTACGTGTCAATTAACTTTTTTCAATTTTTTTTATAAAAAGTTTTATATGTTAAAAATATTTTTATGCATATTTATAATCTAAAAGGGTTGCTTTTAATGTTTTAATCGTTATTAGAATCGTAACAATCTGCTTTAAAACTTTAATTAAAACAAAAGTTACTTAATAAAAATTTAATCTGATTTATATCATATTATAATAATAAAACTATTGATATAATAATTTATATTTAAAATTATTTGCTTAATATGGCATTTGTAAATTTGCAAAATCTAAACGTGTAATTTCGAAATTTGGAAATAGATAAAGCCGGTTTATCATTTAATCAATTGTATTTTTATAGTTTACTATGTATAAGAATTTATAAACAATTAGGTGATGGAATGTTACTTTACAAATACTGTAATTTTAAAAGAAATTGTGGTTCTATGTAATAGTCTTTACTCGCAACTGGTTTCTGACCAGTTGTCAATTAATAAAACTTCATGATCTTAATCGAGAAACAACTGATGTTCTTTAAATGATAAACAAAAGCCGAAAAGAAACGAAACACGGTTTATTTAAAAGACTGACCGAAAAGTCAATACATTAAATGCAAAAGCATTATTACGTAAAAATCTCAAATTGGTAATTAATCATATGATTGTACGCCGCAGTCATATTGTTTATTTATTTTTTTTTTAACCAACTTGATTAATAACTGGTTTTAAGAGTTCATAGTGTTAACGTTCACAAAATTGTTGATTTGTGTAATTGCTGCGCCATGCATGTATTAATTTAGAAAGTGACGATTTAAAAGAGATATTTTTATACCAGGCTTTTTGATAGTTTTGTTTGTCAAAGTTTACTTCTCGTAGTACCCATGGGTCAAATTCATGCAACCGTACGTAAAATTTGAAATATGCTTTTTTTTTTGCCAATACACAGATTTCTCAAATTCGGTAATAATTGGTGTGGTCGATATCTATTTTTTTTCACTTGCTTCTGGTCTAGTCCATGTATGTATATGTGCGTAGAATGAAATCATTAAATAATCCTTTAGTATAAACCAATAAAACAAATATTGAAGAATATTGAAGTATGAACAACATTTTTTACATTCTCTTGACTGAAGCATGCTTTTTTGTTTGATGAGAACATTCAGATAGATCTTGAACTTGCGTACCTTCAATTCACTTTAATGTTGAGTCACGTCTTAAAATATCTTAAAATGCAGAAAAAATTTTAAATTTTTTTTTTTTTTTTTTTTTTTTTTTTGTGAATAATCAATCTTTATGCGGTGTGATTAACATCCGCGCCACTAAAAAATTTAGATGTGATATAAAAAAGCCCATTCAACAGAACTTTTTCTTCGGATATAAGATTCTGCAATGATTTAAGAGTGTAAAAAAAACTCCAAGATCCATAAGATAACCTATGAATAATAAAATTATGCTTCGAAACCATTTCATAATTATGAATAGTAGAAATCAATTCGACACGCTCCTTTGTCAAATGTTATGTTCTTTTTCCCTATAATGAGTTTGTTCGTAACTTCAACTATTTCGGTTTTTGTCAATTTATCTCTTCTTGAGTTCTGTTTCCAATTTTACTGTTCATATTTCCAATGTATGAATTCAAACTTTAAGATTGTCTTTTAAGATTGTAATGAAACTTTCTGAATTAACCTTTACCTATGTGATATTATGGAAAAAAAAAGAAGACAAAATGAAATTTATCATAAATTATTAATCGTTTATCATAGTTTCAAAAGATTGGCATTATCGGTATCAAATAAGTTTAAAAAACAAAAAAGTTGAAAAAAAAAATTATTAAACACTTATGTGAAAAATATGATTAGATAATTCTACTACGCGGAATTTTTTTCCACCGTCTTTCACAACCTAACCTTCCATGTGTAAAATCTGAAGGGGATCTCTTACTTTCGTTATTGGGTACCCGTCTCTCAACTCCGAAAGATTTCCTGTCTCGATCTTTTACACTTTATTTTCTTACCACCGCCCATAAATTATACTTCACGCTGGTAACATGTCATAAGATAGCAATAGCAGGTAAAACAATTTTAATACAGTGTGATAATATACCAGATTACCTTAAAAGAGTGCTTATTGATGAAATACTTTATTTCAAAAAAACAAAAACAAAAAAAAAACCAAAACATCTTTTTTTTCCATACAGATAAGTAAATCATTGAAGAAATACGAACCCCCCGACGAAACAACGCCAAAAAAAAAAGTAAAAACAAAAAAAAATAAGAAAATATAAAATAAAATTAAAAAGAGGAAATATTAACGCCCCATAAGGGGGCAAATCTTAAAGTTCTTAGAATAGGTGGCGTTGCTACTGTCGAGGCATAAGAAAAAATTAATTTAAAAAAAAGAGCTTCGGTCTTTAATTGTATTTATGGGAGTATGAAATAATAAAGAAAATTTTTTTAAATGTTTTTTTAAAAAGAATGGTAGTGGTGAAAAAAGAGCGTTAAAAATAAAAACCAAAAACGCGCATACTCTTAAAAATAAGTGGATGCAGTGAATGGTGATAAAGAAAAAATGACCAAAAAGGGTTATATAATTATCAAAAAAGAAAAGAAGTGCTTAAAAGAGGCATAAAAAAAGGAAGATAATTTCATTTGAAATATCAAAACTTACATATATGATTGATTTTTTGTTGCATAGAGAAAAAAAAGAAACCCCGCAAACATTTCCAAAACCAAAAAAAAACACTAATGGTCAAGTAATATTCGTGTTTTACAATACATCAACACCACCAGCCCCACTGTATCCACATTTTTTAACAGTGGTATGTGTTGAATTGGTAGAGGCAGGTGAAGTATAATCCTCATCCATAGCATCCACGGCCATATTTTCGTCACCACTACCGTGACTTTGTATGCTATTTTCTCCTGAAGTTGGATCCGAACGCTCGGGAACAGGAGAATAAGATTTATCATATTGAGAATAATTATTACTTTCAGTATTCATATTGTATCCTTGGGCATTTCTACGGAAAATATCCATAACAGAACCCAAAAGACGAACGAAAGCTTCACGTTTTAGGGCGGCGACTCGAACAGGGCTTCGTGCAACAACAGTGGCTTTACGAGGTTGATCATTAAGGAGAGCGAGTTCTACTCGATTTTTATATATTTTTTTTAAAGTATTATCATTCGATAAGTATTAAAAATATTTTCCTAGCCTATAAAAAATGAAATAATAAATATAATAATTTAATATCTTCTTACCCCCAAAATAATCTCCCGGACCAAGGTTTGGTAACTGTTGTTCGATACCATTCTCTTCGACTTTACATACACTCACATAGCCTTGTTCGATGATGTAAAAATATTCACCAGGTTCGCCTTGAGTGATGATCGTATCACCACCTTCATAATTGAAAGGTTCTAAAGCTTCTGCAAGCTTAGTAATCTCGGATTTATTTAAAGAAGAAAGGAACGAAACCGATCTTATAAACCTTTCGTAGGTTTTTCGTTGACGATTCATGGCATTTGTAATAGTTCTCCTAAAGTCATCTCTGCTTACAGCCCATAAAATACCATCAGTTTTTGCCTTAACAGTAGCGGCTCTAGGATTCTAGAGATTGAGCATCACGTGAGTATTTGCGAACACGAAAACAAAAACAAAAACAAAAATAAAAATGATAAAAATGATAAATACATTATACATTAATGCCAATTCACCAAAACTACCACCGTCAGCGACTACCAGAACTAATTTATCATCGACAAAAATTTCAAATATGCCATGTTCGATTACGTAAAAGTTATCACCTTCTTCACCTTGGGTAATAATAGTTTCGTTTTTGTGAACGATTTTTTCAAACATGGCATCTATCTAATGATTAAATAGTCAGTAACATGAAAAAATAATAATAAGGAATGAATAGTAATATATTATGTATATATAAATATATACATATATTTATATGTTACATATACATATATATGTATATATTTATGTATGTAAACTTACTACTTGTTCTTTAGTTTCACGATCCAAATACTTGAAAAGCAAGTTCAAGGTAGTAGCGACGTTGATACGTTTTCTCACCTCTTCAGATTTTGGATGAATCGTACGATCATTAGGATCGTCTGAAGGTCTGATTGATTCGGCACTGACAGAATTACGACGACCTCGTCTTGCAAAGGAACTTGAATAATTACGAATAAAACGAGGAGTAAGATTCGGAGGCGATGGAGGTAAACATTGACCCCATTGAAGTGAATCTTCATCAGAAAGCCGATGAGGAACATGTTGATCAGTGAAATAAGGAGGCGTTCTGATTTCCATACTAAATAATAATCAACAAGAAAGTTTAAAGAAATGAAGAAGGAAATGACGTGTGTTTTTTTTTATTCAAGATGATTTTAAAAGGATACCTAAATGAAAAAAATAAACTTACAATGTGTCCTCTTCAGACCTATGACGTTTTCTATATGCTGCTTAAATAATTTTATGAAATTTAAAACAATTCAATTATTTTAATCAGGTAATTAAGTAAAAACGCGTGCAAATGTACGAAAATATACATACTGAGATGCCCAGGCGTTGTCGAACCGTCTCGTTGAATGCTAGCCACACTAGTTGAGTCGTAAGCTTGAGTGGCATATCCATCAAAGAGTTTCTATTTAAATAAGAGAAATTTAAATAAGAAAAATTAGAATTTGGAATGAATTGATAGGAAATTAGAAAGAGGTAATAATGAAGAAATAAAAAAAAATTGATGAAAAAATCGCGTCATAAAGTAGATCATGTTCATAAAGGATAAATTAAAAGAGGAAAAAAATTGATAGATACAGATATGGTGCATAAAAATGGGGACCCCTTAACAAACGAAAAAGGTAAGACTTTTTTACGTAAACAAGTAATACTTACTGAGTACGAAAGCGGTTCCTTCGACTCCCTCTTTATCTGTTGAACCGATCTTACACAACCAATCATGTAGTCAAAGGGATCGCTTGGATGGTGACGTTGCAGCCCACCTTCGAGTTCGGTAAGTATTTTCTTTAAATCGTGACGTTCCATATAAGATTCCACTCGAGGGTCTTGCATGAGTATGAAATAAAAGGGATATTGAGTGAGTACAGTTTCTTTTTTATAATAGATAAGGAAAGAAAAATTCGATCTAAAAAAAAAAAATAGAAACGAAAAGTGTATGCGTGGATACGAGAAAGGGAAAGAGATTTCGGATGAACTGTTCTTTTTTACTTAAAATAATATTTTTCAATAATATCAGAGTAAAAAATACGAAGGTGGCTGCGATAATTTTGTGTGGCACGTAAGAAAGAGGGAGAAGACGACGCGCAAAAAAGGGAGCGTAAAGAAAATCGGTAAAAAGTCGCGTTTTTCGGTTTCTTTTATACAGAATTCCAGTGTGGGAAAATATAGGGAATCAAAAAGGTTTTTTTTCTTTTGCAGCAACTGCAGCATGTATTTTTTATCTTTTTCTTTTAGGGGGAAAGACCAGGGAGGGGTGATGCGCAAAAAATCAAACAATTTAGGGGACAAGCAGGTTGCCCACTAATTACCCGATATGAATAATATACTTACATCAAGAGACCAAAATTAATTATACTGTATAGATGGTTTGGAAAGAATGCGGGGTATATAAAAATGTGGTAAAGTTGAACGAGAGTCTATAAAAAATGTACAGAAGATCCCGAAATAACTTTTTTACGCGTTTTTGTTCTCGCGTGCAGATAGAAATAAAATTTATAATACAAAAAAAAAAAAAATAATAAAAATAAAATAAAATAAAATAAAGTAAAATAAAGTAAAATAAAATATTAAAAAAAAAAAAGTATAAAAAAAAATAGAATATACAAAAAAAAAAAAAAAAAAAGAGATCAAATAAAAATCAAATAAAATAAAAAATATAATAGAAATTTATAAAATAAAAAATAAAAAATAAAAAAAAAAAATAAGATCCAACCAATTCACAAGTCACCCAAATACACAACTAAAAAAAGAACGTGCGACGAGTGATGAATGGATTCAGAAACAGGAGAAAAAAAATCAAAAACGGACGATGCTTGTTTTTTAACAAGAAAGGGCGAGGAGAAATCAATGAAGCTCCGGAAGGACAAAAAACAAGGCAGTGAAAGAAGAAAAAAAAAAGGCAAAAGAGGCATAACAACGAGGATTTATAACGGAAATCATCAGGGTCGGAAGTTGGAATATTATATGGAAGGAATGGTAAGATAGGGTTTATTCAAAGAGTTCTATTGGTGTTTAGGGATTGTTGACAAATAGTAGGGAAACGTAAAAGTCGATGTAAAGCGTGAAAGATTACCCAAATGCCCATAGGGTTATCCATTAGCAACAAACAATGACTACCAGTTGCTGCCTGCTTTGGTGCAGCTTTCACGCTTTTTTTGCATAAGCGAACCCTTTGGCTCAAGCTTCCAACTCACCAGCCATATTTGGTAATTGGCCATTCAATAACACCCCGTTTCGATAAACAAAAGGCCTCGCCCCTTCTTCCGTAATTTATGTATACCGTTGGGAAAAAAAGCAGCAACAGTTACCGATTGCGGAGTATTTGCGACAGTGATACAAGCATTTAGACTGACGCAGCAGCATGCAGTTATAAGTAGTTCGAAGTGGTACATTCATTTAACGGTATTGGAATGACTGTCGATTATCTAGAAACGGATATAATAAGTATTTTCTTGTGATTATATGCGTGAGTCTTAAATAGTCAACTCCGTCTATCATGGGTCTATCATGATTAAAAATTGAGAAATTGAAGATTAAAAATTAACTAGAATTAAATACGTGGCATTAAATAGAATTAAATAAAATTAAATGGCATTAAATTGGATTAAAATTTAATTACATTTAACAGTTAAATTAAAATTGAATTAAATTGTTAGAATAATATTGAGTGATCAGGCCCAATTCGTTAAATAAGTTTATATTAAACCTTTTTAAACCACATCCTAGGTGATAAAAAAATGGGGTGTGATTTAATGCATGCGCAGTGAGAGGCTTCATTGAAGCACTTGGTGTTTCTTTTTTTGGCTTAATAACAGCGAAGGCGTGCAGAAACTTATTGGAAGTGGATAAAGAAAGATATTATAAAGATTTCTAAAGAAAGACATTCTAAAAAGATTTTCATGACCGAATGTAAGTAATTTTTTTTTATTCTATTTCACAAGATGCAAATAACGAGTAGCAATAAGGTGCATCTTGTGCACAAGATGAAAAGCAAGGGATAATAAATTATGAAATTGGTGACAAGAATTAACAAAAATTCCAAGATTTTGGGGAATTATTGTTTCCGAGTTTTGTTCATTAAATTCATTTCAATAATGTCAAGTATCTTTTAAGGCTTTAAATCTTGCTGAAATAAAACCACGCGTGCATTTTACCATAACGGTTTTTGCTTTGAAAACGGTATGCTTATGATCGTTTATGATCGTTTATGATCGTTTATGATCGTTTATGATCGTACGGTCAACTGGTCGATCGACCAACATGAGTCATGCTTTTTAAGGGTCCATTAAAAAAAATTGTCCGTGCAAAGATCCAAATTCTACAAATTCCAAAGCAACTAAAGGGAAAGCAAGGAGATAATAAACAAGCGATCATTGGTAAACAAACAACTATCATCCCTGCAGAAGCTACAATTGTTAATTCGTGTTTCATCTTTTCTATATGTATCATAGAGTAATAAAGCAATTGTTAAGAGTACCGTAATTGTGTTCGTCCATAATATTGTCCATAAACGGTTGGTAACAATATTATTATTATTATATTAAATGATTTAATAATCAATAACTCGTTCAACAATGACTGATGAATCAATAATGATAATAATGATCTAATTAATTTTAAGTGATTTTGAAGTTTCTCGATAAATATTTCCATAATAATCAAATCTCCAGTTGCACTTCTATTATCTGTTTGCATATTAAAATATGTTTAATAATGTTCAAACTATATAATATCTAATACAGTAGGTAATCAGATATTATATAATACTCATATAATATTCATTCACGGGAAATAATTAATTTCCTCGTGTGTTTGAGAAATCTGTTTGTGGTTGGTAGTTTACCTTTGATCTTCCACAAACATATTTCCAGACGATAAATAATACCGATTAATCGAGAGATCTCTCTCCGTTAATTTTAATTTCATCCCTTCACGTCATCCGCATAAAAATAAAGTATTCGCAGTCAAGATTCTCTACTAAATTTGGTAATTCTAACAAATTAAATGCATTTCAATCGTCGTAATACAAATTCTTCTAATGAGCTTAAAAAAAAAAAAAAAAAAAAAAAATAGAATAAAAAATAAAAATAAAATGCGCGGGAATTTTTTTACATTGCGTTTCTGTTTATCAAACATCCGGCTCTATTTGCTACAGTCCTCTGTAGTATTGTCTTTCATAATGTTTATTTTTCGTATATTTTCGTATATCTTTGTATATTTCCGTATATTCTGGGCTTTCTCCACCTGCAAATCAGAATTACTTTTCTATATCAAGCCTTTTTGTTATTGCAACTTGTATGGGGCGTTGTAGAATTTACTTTTACCGGTATTGTCCCTCGAGAAGTACTCGTGCTTTAATATCTTTAGAAATCTTATTTTACGTATAAAAATTTTATAGTAATGTCGGGAATTCTATAATTTCTTTTTTTTTTTTACTGATTTGCTTCATCCCTGATTTTTCTTGTTCTTTGTCAATGTTTGGTATAGATCATAATGTCTCACGAGCTTTTTTCTTAATTAATGTTTAACCAATCTAATATCAAGGAAATCGACCATTAGCTATGAAGTTAAACTTTACTTAAGATTTAGTATATATATATATATATATATATATATATATATTTAGCAATATACTGGCTTCTAAATCAAATGATTAAATCTAAATTTTGATACATTTTACTATGTATATACGTACGTGCATGCGTACCAATCTTTATAAAGATTAGTATTTATTGTCACAATCATTTCTAATAGCGATAGAAAAAAAAAAAACTTAAATTTTATTTTAGTCAATCTCTATAACGATATCGATAGTAAATTTATATGATATCATATTTACCGACAAGAATTTAGCAAGTCATATCCGGTATTTAGAATCCTGAGTGCGTCATCCAGAATTCTAAATACTTGTCATATCTACGTAATATCGTTAATGGCTGTGTAGTGTACCGATAAATTATGACTATCGCTATGGTTTTTTTTTATTGCAAATATCTACATGTTTTTCTAACGGGACTATATTTGACTGTACAAGAAATATTCAATGTTAATTAATATTTATATATCCTAATTAATAATTAATTATCGTCACGTTTTATTGCTTACGACTTTTCTTTATATATATCATCATGTTTGTATGTATACTATGTCGACGCATCCAAACATATATCGATATGATATATTTTAAAACATAAAGTGCGTAAAGAAAGTGTAAAGTTAAACATTGAAAAAAAATGTAAAAAAATGCGTAAATTTATCGCGGTTTTCGAATGGTTGATAATGGCAAATAAATTTTTTTTTGGTGAACACACCTTAGCACGTTGATTGAAGACCGATGCCCGAATGACTATAAATCGGGCATCAACCTTGCTAAGGTAATCAAGTGTTCGTGTGTTCATCAAAAAAAATTTATTTGCCATTTTCAACCATTTCGAAAACCGCGATAAATATTTAACTGTGCAAGCGCTATTATATGTATTAATTTGGTCGGAGCTAAAATACAGAAGAATAATCGGAGATTAAAACATAATGATTCTTTGCCACATCAACAGTAATCCGCTTCTATGCATAAGAGCTTTGACTTATTTCGCATTTCACTATTTCAGTAACTGTTTTCAGCCTATACCGGTAAATTAATTGTTTACTAATATATTTAGGTAAAGAATCTTATCGTCATTGTAATCGAAACAAATAATAATTTCTATTTTAAAGGTAAGTATGACTTTGATTATATTTGAGTGGTTGATTATTTAAATTTTTTAAATTGATTATTTACCTCTTAAATGCTTTTTTTTTATTTATACACAATTACAAAACTTAGTCCTATTTTTTTTTATCTTTTCAATAATAAACTTAGTCCTATTTTTATCTTTCAATAATAAACTTAGTCCTATTCTTTATCTCTTCAATCATTATAATAAATAATGTTAATAACTCGCATCGCTACGTGAAAATGTTATGATTTTTCTGGCCATCCTTTCTCTCCATTTTCGCCTTCTTCCAACGAATCTTGTTGATTAACTACACGTAATACTGCTTTTTTGCTTGATTCTTGCATCTCACCCGCAATAATCAATTCATCTAAAACATAGTATGCCTAAAATATTAAATTTAAATAAGTTTATTAATAATTATATATAAATATGTAATATATATAATTATAAAACAAATAAAAGAATCAATACCTTTTGGAAATTAAAGATTAGATCCAATTCACAAACCTAAAAGCGAAAATATACTAAACAAGATTATTAAAAAGAAAAAATGATAATAATATGCGGGTTGAGAATTGATTGTGTTTACATTGCCAAAATATCGATCTAAAATTTCAACATATCGATGAATAATTTCAAGTGTTATAAGTTCATTATCTGAAGCTGAAATTCCTGTGACAAAAAATAAACTTGCATATCTATTATAACATAGAAATAATCCATGTTAAATATTCTAATGATAATAATTTTGATTTTGCTTGGAATCATTAATAAAATAATACCTTCGATATACAACTTTCTCATCTACGATTAAATTTCACATAATAAAACGTTTGTCAAAAGTTGTGTTCTAGAAGATCAAATATATAAGTTACGAATTTAAAGAAATTAAAACAAACCTTTATATTCTAGAAAATTACACATTTTAGTACGTCGCGAAAGTACCATTTGTGTTACTTCTTTAATGATTTTTTGTTTTTCTTTTGGTGAAAGTGTATTGAACCATTTTGCAAGTCTTACTTTTCCTTGTCTACTAACCAGTAGAACGTATTTTATCTGTTAAGAGATCAGTAAAATTAATAACGGTTAAGAAGACGGGAAAGCGAAATATAATACCAACTTACCCCCATAGTGTTGATTTGGGTTGGAAAGGCCTTTGTCAAAATATTTATACCCGCTTGCAGATCTGAGTCCAAAATAATCGAGCCAATCATAAATTTTTAAATTTCATTATCTTCAAGATTTTTAATAGATGATTTAGATGATTTCTCAATTTTTTATTTTATCTCCGCAACGAGGTGATACTCTAA